AACAGTGTTGTAATATTTGTTTATAAATAAACAAATCTATTTAAATATAGGTGTAAGAGGATGAGTATTATGTCCTGTCAAACTATTTCAAGAGAACTAAATTAACTCTTTAGAAGAAGAAGAAGAAGAAGAAGGCTGAATATTCATACACACCTGCAGTCTGTGAAGAGTGTCTGGTTGAATGATCGTCAGCTCTAACTGAAACACTCTATTTATGGATGAACAAAGTCCCTCCCAATAGGGCTGGGCGATATATCGCACGATATTGTTATGTGCATCTAATCAGTAAAGCCGGTTCCTTGATTAGTAATAAATCACCTTCACCTGCTTTCAAATGGACGATATGAGTGTTAAATTAACACTCAAGAGTGTTAAAGTTAATGAGATAATTAAGGGATTAATTATTTATTATTTACTTATAACCTAAAATATTTAATAAAATATATTCTGATCAAATCAATGTCATCTTTATTCAGAAACATAGTAATCAATAATCAGCCTGTCTATCTCAACCGTGGTGACATGTTGCCACCAATCACAACTCATTAATGGCTCCCATCATGCATTGCGGTATGAATTATGATCTGAATTGCCTATGTAATTTACATTTCCTATTTGAATATTCTACTCGTCACCGTTGTTGAGAAGCATTGACTGAATCTTGAGGTCTGTGTGCCTTAAAGAAAGATTTTTTTTTAAAACAACTTTTGAGAAAACCATTATATTATATTTAACACTCTGGATGTTTATGCAGAATCTCAGATATACATTAACCAACAGAATAAATCACAGACACAAATTTTACAAGAGAAATGTTTTTATTTATTTATTTATTTATTATTATTATTTTTTTTTTATTGAACACCAAGAACAGAACAAAACAGAATACAGGTAAAATGAGTACATATTAAACAAGGCACATATCAGTTAAGGTAAAACAAATAAAAACAATAAAAGTTAAATTAAAATAAATGTATTACTATAAAAAAAAATACAAATAGAAAGGGGTCTCTTTATTCCTCTTTTAAGAGCTCAATGTCTCTTATTATTCCAGACAATTTCTGGGCCCTTTTTTACGTTTCATACATTCTGTAGGAGACATTTATGTTTATTGTTTGCATGATAGTTTATTTTGTTTGGATATATTTATATTAGTATTTGGACACTAGGTGGCAGTGACTAGATGCACATGGTTGTATTTAAATGGGAATAGGTGACAGGAAATGAAAGGCACAGGTAGGGGGAGCACAAACATTCTCACCAGACCATGATTAGAAGACACAACTCACAACTGGAAACAAGACAAGAAAACAACTGGTATGTTCATCTTTGATGTTTACTTCAATAAACCACAAATCTCAACTGCAATAACGGCTGGAAAATCTTGTGTGTCTGTGTAGAAACTTCACTCCTACCTGTGCATGATGGCAAAGAAATATTATTGAACGAAGGGCTAAAGGTACAGCCAAGCAAAGATTACCATTATACATTCCAACGCTGGAAAGAAATTACAAATCAAGTCTCTTTTAAATACAGAAAAATAAGGTTTCGTCTTCATACATTTAGTATCAACATTACGTTAATAAGAAATTCATTTCTTTTCTCGTTCAACAGCATTCCAATGTTGCAGGTCACTTTACAAACTTCTCTTGCTTAAACTGTATTAAGAGAAATTTGCCATATCAAAACTCACACTCGAATAAATTAGCTTTCAGCGATCAGTTCTTAAAATAACCATTGAATGTGAAGAACAATTTGTTTTAAAAACTTTTTCCACTACAAAGAAGCGTTTGTGAAATGGAAATATTTCACTGATGTAAATCCATCGATTCAAATAAAGAATCTTTATTTCTAACAGCATAGAATAAAAAAAAAAGAAAAATGCATGTAATTTGTCAGGGAATCGAGGATGAACTGATTCCTCCTGAACTTACATTTAAAAAGTTAATTTAAATATGTTTGTTTTTATAGCTGCCATTTTACTATGATACGCAAACAAATAAATATTCATGATTCATATCTGAAGTGTTGATAGAAGTGATTTATTATTGTATATTTAAGTTCATATGATATGGATCACACTTCACAGGCTTTAAAAACACACGTCTGTGTAGTTTTACACATTTTCTGTTGTCTTATTCCTATAATGTAATTATATGTGTTGCAGTGCAGTATATAATGTTGTTAGAGGAAGTCATTCATGACCAATTTGTGCAAAACCTTGTGTTGTTTTAGAGATGCAAAATGTTTCCATGTGGACACACAGACAATGATATCCATTCGAATTTGTTTATTTATTTAAATGGCATCGCTGAGCAAGAAAATAACTGGTATATGAGCTCGTCCAGATGGCGATATTAACTTTAATGGACTTACAAGTACAGAAACAAAAAGCAATTCAATGTTTATACGTTTATTGGAAGAACGTGACCAAAAAAAAAAAGAGTTTTGTCGCACATTTCAGCTTCCTTGATCACAGTAGCTTGTAACAGTTTAAAGTTTGTTTCTTAAAAAGTTGAGTAAAAAATACACAACATTAAGGACATCTCCATTTTCTCTTTACACTCCAAAAATTCTTTGTGTGTTTTCCAGTAAAAACATCTAAATAAACTTAAATCAGGACACATTTAATGGAGAAGTGAAATGACTTTAGATATTAAGTCTTGTTTTCTGAACAACGTATCAAAATGAAGTGCGTTTTTGCATGGCAATGACAATAATCTGTTTTCCTTTTAAATGCATGTTATTGTTAGATATGTTTTGAGCTGAAACTACGATTCCCTTTTGCGTCCTGAGACAGTTTGAGGAACACCTCAGCGTGACACTTCTGGGTGGTCAGCGGGGGTCAACGGGACATTTGGCCACTATAGTGGGTAATCGGACAAATAGTGGGTTCGTGGGACGGGGCGTGGCTTGGGACCGTTCAGTGGGGTCAACGGGACATTTGGCCACTATAGTGGGTAATCGGACTGTTACGTTCCCCTTACCGTCTAGGGGTTGCAAGGGGAAGTAACAAAAGGAAAAGCCAAAAGGAACGGGCGAGAACACACTTCAATCCTCTGTCCCAGAGTGAAGATGACACCAGACAATATAAATGTCAAAGAAAGGATTTTATTTACAAACAATATATTAGGGAAAAAAAAAAGGACAGAACATGAGTTCCTAGGGAGCAATGGCTCAGGGGAGAGCAAGGCCTAAAACAACAAACAAAACCGCCCACTAACTAAATTTAGGAGGAGTTCTAACTTACCTAAGAAGGGTTAAACAAAAAGAAATAAACAACACAAACTTTCCTCAACTCCCTTACTATACAAAAAAAAACAGAGTCAATATATAGTGGGTTCGTGGGACGGGGGCTTGGCTTGGGAGTAGTCAGTTAGGGTCGACGGGACATTTGGCCACTTCAGTGGGTAATCAGACAAATAGTGGGTTCGTGGGACGGGGGCGTGGCTTGGGACCGTTCAGTGGGGTCAACGGGACATTTGGCCACTTCAGTGGGTAATCGGACAAATAGTGAGTTCGTGGGACGGGGGCTTGGCTTGGGACCGTTCAGTGGGGGTCAACAGAACATTTGGCCACTATAGTGGGTAATCGGACAAATAGTGGGTTCGTGGGACGGGGGCGTGGCTTGGGAGTGGTCAGTGGGGGTAAATGGGACATTTGGCCACTTCAGTGGGTAATCGGACAAATAGTGGGTTCGTGGGACGGGGGCGTGGCTTGTGTGTGGTCAGCTGGGGTCAACGGGACATTTGGCCACTATAGTGGGTAATCGGATAAATAGTGGGTTCGTGGGACGGGGCGTGGCTTGGGAGTGGTCAGCTGGGGTCAACGGGACATTTGGCCACTATAGTGGGTAATCGGACAAATAGTGGGTTCGTGGGACGGGGGCGTGGCTTGGGACCGTTCAGTGGGGTCAACGGGACATTTGGCCACTTCAGTGGGTAATCGGACAAATAGTGGGTTCGTGGGACGGGGGCGTGGCTTGGGACCGTTCAGTGGGGTCAACGGAACATTTGGCCACTTCAGTGGGTAATCGGACAAATAGTGGGTTCGTGGGACGGGGGTGTGGCTTGTGTGTGGTCAGCTGGGGTCGACGGGACATTTGGCCACTATAGTGGGTAATCGGACAAATAGTGGGTTAGTGGGACGGGGGCGTGGCTTGGGACCGTTCAGTGGGGTCAATGGGACATTTGGCCACTATAGTGGGCAATCGGACAAAGATGGGTTAGCGGGATGGGGGCGTGTGGCTTGTGTGTGGTCAGGGGCGTCAAAGGGACATTTGGCTGCTATAGTCGATAATCGGACCAATAGTGGGTTCATGGGACGGGGGCGGGGCTTGGGAGTGGTTAGTCGGGGTCGACGGGACATTTGGCCACTATAGCGGGTAATCGGACAAATAGTAGGTTTGAGGGACTGGGTCTTGGCTTGGGACCGTTCAGTGGGGTCGACGGGACATTTGACCACTATAGTGGGCAGTCGGTCAAATATGGGTTAGTGGGATGGGGGCGTGGCTTGTATGTGGTCAGGAGCGTCAAAGGGACATTTGGCTGCTATAGTGGATAATCGGACAAATAGTGGTTTAGTGGGACGGGGGCGGGGCTTGGGAGTGGTCAGCCGGGGTCGACGGGACATTTTTCCACTATAGTGGGCAATTGGACAAATAGTGGGTGAGTGGGACGGGGGCGTGGCTTGGGAGTGGTCGGCCTGGGAGGTCTTCCACATGTTTGATCTTGCTGCTGTTGAGGCCTGGCCTTCATATTAGGATAAGGTTATGGTGATTGTTAATGTTTTAACCTGAAACAACACAGATTGTACTGTTTTGATATGATAACTTGAGATGATGGTTTGTACTTGCGTTCCACGATGGTACAATGTTGCCTGAGGGCAAAATCTGGATAATAAATGTTACTTTTATTAAATACGAAATGTGTAATTCATTAAAAACTTGATAAATATGTTTGTTCAAGTGTTTAATTAAATAAATTGATATTTTCAATAAATCTATAATTTTTTTTCTTCACGAAGATGTCAAATGTTCATCCACTATGTAACTGATGCCGGGTCAGGCCATCCTGGTGGCATGGTGGCATTGGTATATCGTCCCCCAAAGCGCCATCGACGCAGTGCGAGTTCCCTTTCGAAAGGGAACGTCTAGGTTACGACTGTAGACATTTGGAGAAAAACTTTAAAAAGTTAATTCATCCGTCAGGTAACGCCCATTTTTACAGATTAACCTAAAGCTGCTCAGCACAATGTCCAAGCTTAACGAAACTCAGCACACAGAGACAAGAGAGAGAGAGATAGAGAGGAGGAGAGACAAGGTTGATCATGTGATACACATTTAAATGGCTCATCCTCCATAAAACGTATATAACTCACACACACTCTCCATCGCTAACGAAAGACAGACGCCTTTGATCAACCATGAAGAAGCTCTTCAGTTCCCTGTGGATCTTACTAGGTAAAGTACAACATACATTATCTGCTATTTTACTAGATCCACACTAATGTTAAGACTGTATTAAACTATGTTTCTAGTATAGTTTGCACTCATCTCTCTCTCTTCTGTGGATTTACTGCATATGTTCTTTCCATACATGTTACATTTATCATGGTTAGCATTAAATACCTCTCTCAATTTATAGACAGTAAATGAACTTCATCGCTGGATTTTTGGAGTGTTTTTGTTACCTCGTTATTCTACTTCTGCTTTACAAAACAAATCTTGAAATCAGTGCTCATTTGTGTATGCAAATGGTTTCTCAAGAAAGTCGTGATTCACAGGAGCATCTTCTTATCTCACTTCAGGTGACAGTATTTTTCAAGATGCAGATTATTGTTAATGTGTCAGTAGTTTTCACCAGCTTGGCCTTTAATACACATATCAATGTTTTACAATGCCTTTATCATTCAGATGATGTGCGATTTATATGTGACTATTAAAGTGAAATGTTTGGAGAAAAAGTTTTACTTGAATTTACAGAGCGGCAGAACCTGTTTTATCTGAACTCATTTTAATCAGTTTTTTTTTTATTTTTTTACCCAGGGCTTTTATTGATTAAAGAAATGGTGAATGGAGCGGAAGGTAAGCATCTATTTGCATTAGTTTTCATCTCTATTATATTCATTTCGTTTGATCTGCCAGATTTAATCTGGACCTTTCCGTCCCAAACCACATAAAGCACAAGTATTATTATATTTTCTGTTTTCACTCTAATTTGAAAGTATTATTAATTGTGTTGTTTTTTTTTTTAGTTTTTTAAAGTTTGTTATTTTATTACTTCCACTTTTCAGTTGTTTATTTCTTTTCAAGTATGTTTTAATGATTTTAGTTTTAGTTAATGATGATAACCCCAGATAAGGATAATATATAAAAACAGATTTTATATCAATGAATTGCTTTTAAAGACCCACTTTCCAAATGTTCAACAAGAATTAATAAAACTGTATTTTTACTGGTCTTATTTCAGAGAATTTAGCATTAAGGCAAACATCCACCCAATCATCCTTATACACGGAGGGATATGCCGGAAAAGTAGTCGATGGTTTACGTGAAACCTATGGCCACACTAACACGCAGACCGACCCGTGGTGGAGAGTGGATCTGATGAAAGTATACAGAGTCAACAGAGTGACCATGACTAACAGAGTGACCTCCATTTATTATAGCAGGATAAACGGGGCAGTGATTCGCGTCGGGAACTTTCTGGACGTTTACAGCAACACCATGTGAGGCTTTCTTTGACTGTTTTGATTAATAAAGCTTCAGATGAACAGAAACTGATAACAGATGATCTTTCTGTCTGTAGATGTGCTGTAATTTCCACCATTCCATCTGGAGCCACAGCTAGCTTCTCGTGTGGCGGTATGGTGGGACGCTATGTGATTGTCCATATTCCTGGAGATCAGAAGACTCTTACTATTAGTGAGGTTGAAGTCTATGGGTATTTAGCAGGTAATTCATTGTTGTAGAACACTTTTCAATATGTCATGCCATACAAGACTGAAAATTGTGACACTTTATTTATGTCCTCCCAAACCAGTGACATTCTCAAATCTCATTCACACAAGTGCATGTTCAAACTTTGACTGTCAACTTTATTCTTTATATCCCAGGAAACCGGGCGTTAGATGGAGCCGCTACACAGTCGTCAACATCTGGGGACTGGTTTGCTGGAAACGCCATTGATGGTAATCGAGGTCTCCAGCAGTTGTACACCGGATGCTCCTCAACCCTAAATCAGACTAACCCGTGGTGGAGGCTGGATCTGCATGACGTGTACCGAGTTAGTAATGTGGTCATCACCAACAGACGAGATTGCTGTGCAGAACAAATAAACGGAGCGGAGATTCGCATCGGGAACTCTTTAGAGAACAACGGCAGCAACAATCCCATGTGAGACTCTTGAGGTTGAAAGTACATGAGAGCTTGAGCACAAATGAGAAGGACTATATGACAGTATCTTGATCTGCTTGATCTGTTTGTCTCTGTCTGTAGATGTGCTGTTATTCCTGCTATTCCAGCAGGCGAGTCTTACAACTACTCATGTGGTGGGATGGACGGACGTTATGTGATTGTTCATATTCCTGGAGATCAAAAGAGACTTGGTCTTTGTGAGGTTGAAATCTACGGGTATTTGGCAGGTAATTCAATGTTATAGAGAATTATATTCAGTATATATATATATATATATACTGAATATATTGTAACGAATACACAATAATAATATACATAAAATGTATTTAAGGGGGGCCGGAAGGCCAATTTAGCTCAAAAGGAATGATTCATTGATGTACAATGAATCTTAAGCGAATCACTATGGAACCGAGCAAATGACTCGTTCAGAGTTAATTTGAACGGGCCGTAATTATAACCTTTGCAAGGATATAAATATCCAATCTATAGTGAAACACTATGTATTAGCAAGGTAACTTTAGATCGAACAGTACAAGACATTAAATGTGCAAACACAACACAAGGCAATTATCTTTTCAAATATATGGACAAGACTTTATTAGCTATTCTAAACACATAAAACTGATGTCTAATACGGTCACACAGACACACATTCATAGTCGCGGAAAGGGAAAGACTTTTCCCGATTCGTAAAGTCTTTGTCTTGCGTTAAATAAAGCAAAATCTGCCCTCTGAATAAACAACTGATTCAATGCCTCTCAGAAATGACTCGCTTAATAATCTTGACATCTGCTACAAACTTTGTGCATCAATGTAAAAGCCTTGTTTTCATACATTTTTTCTAGAAAATCTGGCAGTAGCTGGAGTTGCTACACAGTCGTCAACATCTGGGGACAGTTTTGCTGAAAAGGCCGTTGATCGAGGTCTCCAGCAGTTGTACACGGGATGCTCCTCAACCCTTAGTCAGACTAACCCGTGGTGGAGGCTGGATCTGCGTTATATTTACAGAGTTATTAAAGTAGTCGTTACTAACAGACGAGATTGCTGTGCAGAACAAATAAACGGAGCGGAGATTCGCATCGGGAACTCTTTGGAGAACAACGGCAGCAACAATCCCATGTGAGACTCTTGAGGTTGAAAGAACATGAGAGCTTGAGTACAAATGTAGATTTGAATATATGACAGTGTCTTGATCTCCTTTATATGTTTGTCTCTCTGTCTGTAGATGTGCTGTTATTCCTGCTATTCCAGCAGGCGAGTCCTACAACTTCTCATGTGGTGGGATGGAGGGACGTTATGTGAATCTGATCATTCCTGGAGACATGAAGATACTCACTCTCTGTGAGGTGAAGGTCTATGGAGAAGGTACATCACTCATATTGGTTTATAATATCAGATAATAATAATAATGTCTTCACATCGTCATATATTTTTGTCAGCAAGACATAGTGAGAAGCAGGGAAATGTTTTAAAGGGGTCATGAACTGGCTTTTTAAATTTTATTATATTGTTGTTTGAAGTTAACTTATGACGTTCGCTTTGTTTTTCCATTCAAAAACATCAAAATGAACAAGAAATAGGCTATTTTGTACCCTAGTTCTGAGCCTAGCTGAAAAACACTTGGTTTTTATGGCCGTCTCGCACTAAAGACTTGGAAGTAAACGCCCACTGCTGTGAGTGGATAACAGATTTGCATATTATAATGAGTTTCAACTCACCCGTTGATGCACTTGGGGGAAATTGTTTTGAAAACGTCCAGTGTTGTAAAATGGCAACTGGAATGATTCGCCCATTTGAAATTGGTGGGGACGGGGACATCAATTTTAGGGCTGGATATCGATTCACATGTTCAATTTCGATTCGTTTTCGAAAGATCTCAGATCGATTCGATTTCTATTCTCGATTCCTGATTTGACTCTCGATTCGACTATAATGAATATAGATGTAATACAAATCCTATATTTATATATAAAAAAAAAGAACAGTGGACACAAATTTACTAGTGGTTAATTAATACAAAGAAATTAAGAGCCACAAACCTGTATATAAAACTATTTTTATTTTAGGTACATTATACACTAAATGCATGTTTAAGATAGATATAGATAAATAAATATGTAAATATTTAGACTTTTTTTATTACATATATCTTACCTAAATGTTTATTATTATTATTTTTTGTTAAGAGTTTATGCAACACAAAAGGTAGCACAAATAAATACAATAGAATAAAGACACAAATAAAGAGACATTTTGGGGTAGTTTTTATTTATCGATTGTGCAAGTGAATATTCCGTGATGTCCCGACTCCTAAACGCGAGTGTGTACCTGCAGTCACACTTGCCTAGTGCAGAGAGAGAAGACACAGCACTGTGAGCAAAAAAAAAAAATCACTGTGATTTGTGGCCGTTGAGAATCGATTTCGAACCACACTTTAAAAAACGATTAATCGAAAAATCTATTTTTTGCTCAGCCCTAATTAATTTATAAATATATTTTAAGTTTTGATTGAAATTATTGCCAGGGATATATCAGTGTCACTGGATATTGGTAGGGACACGTCCCTAGCGTCCCTTCTAAATTCTACGCCCCTGTCGCCCATATCGCACAATATTCTGTATTGCTCGGTAGCTCGATGATCCGGTTTGTCATCACGAGGTAGGCTTCTATGTTATTTAACTATGCATGTAATGCGCGAATCGGTGGGCGGGGCTAAACCAGCCGTGTTGAAGTAGGCGTTGATCTTCTTCTGCGGGGGTGGGGTTTTATCCTCTTTGACGTCATAGTTCCCCACTTTGAAAAATGAGTTGTTTGCTGAGCCTGGTGTAAATAAAAGCTTTTATTGGACTAACAAGGACGTTTTCAGTTCTGAAACTTACAGGATATTCTTATAATATGATGACCTCTTAGATGCCAAAAGCTCAAGGAAAATTTGATTTCTCAGTTCATTACCCCTTAAATAAATGCCAATGTGAAGGTTCTAATATCTCATCATTTAAATTTGAAGTTTTATGTATTTACATGTATGACTGTGTTTGTTTAGGTCCCTGTTTAAAAAGGTCATTTGTAAAAATGCAGTTTAACTCCATCAATGATTTGACTGACCGTTCAATGAGAGAAAATGTTCTGAAACAGGTGAGAGAAAGAAACCAATTCAACCTTTATGATTACTGTGAGAAGCATAGATCAGGCCAAATTGTTCTCAAATCATTTAGTTTTTGCTGCATTTTATAGTAAACGTAAAATGGTTATATATTGGCATGAATTGTTCCATTAAGAACCATTACTCAAAATGTTCTCTATGGGAAAACATCTTTGTTTGACCTGTTGTGAAGCAAACACACCAAGAACAAGGCTTTAAATAACCTCTGATGATGATATCATTAGAATACACACTCGTGAAAGGCTGTAAATAAACTTGAAACGGGTGAACTTTCAGGTTTCTTTGACTTCAAAGAACCGTATTGTGTTTGTGTGTGTGTGCTACACTTCTATCTGTCCACTTTGTTTGGAGTTAGAGTTACAGCTGTAAGTGAGCAGAAATTTCACATTGAGAAATCAGAGAAACTCCAAACGGTTAGGAGATGCATGCCTCCATGCTCATGGCTCATCTGTGATTTTGAAAATGCATGGCTCTGCTTTAAATATTTGCATTTGAGCAAGGCAAGTTGCTCTATGTGGCCAGATTACAGCTTGACTGGCCACAGGAGAAAGAGATATGTTTAAAATCATTTAAAGAAAGTATTTGTCAAAATTAAATTTTGACATTAATTTACAGTTTTACACCAGACATAGGCTAGAATATATATATTGATCTTTTGATAGGGAACATCTCGGGTTACTTGACTGTAACTCTATTTCTGTAAACGGTGGAACGAGATGCTGCGCCGCATTGTTGAACTGGGGGCGTTCAAGACGTCTTTTCAGACAAACTGACCTGAAAGCGCACCTGTTTCTCATCTTTTATAGCCTCTCATAAGCACAAGTTCTAATGACGTCATCGTCAGAGGTTATTTAAAGCCAAGTTCTTGTTTGCCACACGTACTTGAGAACCGGTCAAAAAATTACAACGTTTTCCCAATGAACTCAGTTCAGCATTCCCGCTTTTCAGGGAACAGGGTTGCAGTCAAGTAACCCGAGATCTTCTTCATAGTACGATTTATTTGTTTATTTATTTTACGGATCTCTAAAAGGTTCTTTGAGGAACCAAATATGGTATTGCTGCGAAATAAAGCACCTTTTGGAACCTTTAGTTTTCCAGTGTAGATTTATTGTACATCAAATTATCATATAATATGACCAGAGGATGTTAAGAACAAAATGAGTTGTTTTACTGCAACGCATTTGCACTTACAAAAAGAGAACTGTTTTAAATGAAAACGCCACTCCTCAAGCTCTAACATTGGGCAGACGTTAAATGTTGGTTGAAAAATAATATTAAAATTAAAAACCTGAAATGCATGGCAATTTCATCTGAAATTGGAGCTTACGTCAAACAATCATTGGGTTCAGAGTCTTCCTGATGGCTTTAGGCTTTTATCCTCACACTCTGATCTAATCGGTTCAGTATGAATGTTATTTTCAGTTGGGATCTGCTCTTGCTAAAAGAGGATTCACAGATGTGACACTGCGATGGACTCAAACTCCTAAACAGGTGATCCAGAAGGGGAACGATGCTGAACGTGAGTCTGTTCTCGACTGTACAATAACATATGAAATAAGCTGCACAAATGGAAAGGATTATACAATTATTGTAATGCGTAATGAGCAAAAATATTTTCGTTTACAGGTCACTGTGAGAAGAGAAAATCCCCTTGAAATCAACAATCTTCAACGCTCTAAAATTCACATTCACATTGATCTGATTCTATATTCACAAAATTAAATTTCTTCATAATTACGTGTTTACACTATAAAAACCCTGTAGTTAGTAATTGTATCCCTTAAAATTCATCTTTTATCACCAAAATTATATATTAATACTTGAAGAGTTCAGATGCAAAAGCCTCTAAATGCCATTTGAAATTTTCTTCTTTAATGATGATTTTTATCAAACTTGTATATTTGAGTTCAGTAATTTCACTTAAATAACAAGTAATAGGTAAATATCATTGCCATTTAAGTGAAATCACTTAACTTAAATATATAGTTTGATAAAAATGATCATTCTAGAAGAAAATTTCAAATGGCACTTAGAGGCTTTTGCACCTGAACTCTTCACTTTTTTTTCCTTAAAATGTATAATGCCTTGATTATGAATGTAACACCATTTCCTCATTTAATATGTGCGGTTCTATGAATATGCAAATGAGTCCCGCCTCCACTCACTTACTCACTCACTCAGAGATCCACTGGTTGACTTGACGATCACACGCTGATCTGATTGGTTATAAGGTCGTTTGTGACGTCAGAAACACCAGCGATATCAAACCGTGTTTTTGAGACTGTCTTTGGCCCTATTCGCATATAAGTATTACCTGGTGACCTCTAGTCATCTGTAATAATGGCGAAGGTTGACTGTGATCTTAATCCCGTGCGAATCGTCCATGTTTGTAATTTGTAAAGTAAAAATCCCCCCGCAAATGACCCGGCATTTTTCCAGAACACCGAGTGATAACATCAGTCCGGTCCGGTGCGAATCGCCATCGCTGTGATATGGCGGGTTATACATTTTTCACGTTTTTTTCTAAATTTCTAAATCACACGAGATTCCCAGATAATGGTAATCCCATGCGAATAGGGCTTTTGGTTCACTGCAGTTTTAATCAGAAAATACCCAGCAATGCTGTTGACTTGTGACTTTACACATGGTGTGTCTTAAAGCACATTTAAAACACCACATAGACGCAACACTAAAAGCTTCATTTTCACGGGGGAATTTAAATCGATTTTTTTCTTCACTGTTTCTGCATATTCAAACCTTTACTTATATCATTAACAAAAATATATAGAAGTGAATATAATATAAATCAATTGTTGTTCACATTGAAACCCATGGTTGTTATAAATAAATAACATGACCGTCCCCTTTGTGTACATTCACTTTTAATATTTCATTTAATTATCATTCATGCACTGATTTTAACAGAAAGTTTCCTTGTGATAAATCTAATGGTTTAATGCAGTTTGTATATAATAATGTTTGATTAAGTGCATTAAAAGGGAATCAGTCACGCATTGGTGATATCAGAAACGTGGAGACGGTCTGAGGTTTGCATTTCGTTTTTTCCCCACCGAACATCAGTCCATCACCGGCTCCGATTTCAGTAACACACACCAGGACTCGCTTATTTGTTTGCCTGTGTTTTTGCAGCTTATTTGGGAAGTCTGTGTACACTTAAAGGCATTAGTACACAGCTGAAAACACCCTGAACATCTGTGCTGATGATCACCAGTCATGACTCTTCTTGCTTTTGTCTCCTTTAAATGCGTTTTTAATAGTGAAAACAGAAATATTACAATTTAAAATATCTGTTTTCTAATATTCCTGATATCAGAACTGGATTTGTAACATTATAACCCCAGTCTTTAGTGTTTTACTGATTCCGAATTTTGAGCTTTTGTCACTTGATCTCTAGGATAGTGTTTCTCAGTTTATTTGTTAGATCTACTTTACTAATCAAATCGTATGTTGAATAGATGCTCCTTTGTGTATGTAAATGGCTTGACAGCCGACATGATGTTTGTCAGGCAAGGCAAGTTCATTTATATAGAACATTTCTGACACTTCCAAAATGCTTTACATAGAAATGAATAAAAATAAGCACACAATAAATTCTGAAAATAGGCTAATTTTACAACTCCCCCAGAGTTGGGTTTACCGATTTCAAATGCATTCACCCGAATTTCTGGTGTTTAAAAGAATATCAGTAACCAGACAGGTTCTGGTCTCATTGACTTCCATAGTATATTTTTTACCTGCGCCTATTAATATTATTATATATTATATCATTATAATGAACCTATTTCCAAAAAAAGTGGAGTATCCCTTTAAAACACCTCACATATTTCTCTTCATTTTGCAATGGCCTTGCATGACACAATTCTGTGAAATATGCCCGTTAATAACGTCTGTGAAGATATCAGTTTTACGATAATAAGCTATTCATTGTAGAGTTTGTGGTGAAGTCTTATCTTAGAAAGAAAACTTTTGCCGATGTCTTCGGATCGGAGATGCGTCTATTGTTCAAATTTCCCACGATCAAAGAGGACACTAGACGTGCACAGCAAAAATCACAACCTGTGCTTGCTGCATACGCAAGTTAAGGTGTCTCAACCATATATCTATATAAAGGCTAGATATGTCGTCCACGCTGCTGGCCAATGGAGGTCGACGTCTGCACCTGGCGGCCATCTTGTCACAGGCAGCTTGCTCACTCGTAACATTGTGTTAATGGGACATGTACTATTTAAATAGGGGCGGCAGTGGCTCAGTGGTTCATGTGGGTTGTCTACGAACCGAAAGGTTGGTGGTTCAATCCTCGGTTCCACCTGACCAAGTGTCGAGGTGTCCATGAGCAAGACACCTAACCCCAGCTGCTCCCGACGAGCTGGCTGGCGCCTTGCATGGCTGACACCGCCGTCGGTGAATGAATGAGTGAATGAGTGTATGAATGGGTGAATGTGAGGCAAATGTAAAGCGCTTTGGTGGCCATTAGGTCTATGAAGGCGCTATATAAATGCAGTCCATTTACCATTTACCATTTAAATAACCATAACTTGCTCAATTTTCTACCGATTTGTTTTGTTTTGTTATAAACGGCAGAGATGTAGTTATGACACTGCATACTTATGAAAAAAAAGTGTATAAATAAATAATCATCCAGATAATTATAGCCACGTTAATAACGTTTGTAAGAAACCAAACCGTTTGTAAATCCGTCAAGATTTCAACGAGATAAGAGTATTTGTGTTCGTGCTGATCACTCATGTTACATCAGCTTGTCTGTGACAAGATGGCCGCCGATGATGACGATGGAAACTCCGCCTTAACACATCTAACCTTTATATACATATCTATGGCCTCAACTGTACACAGTCTACCCTTGTGGATGGCACCTCTCCGAGGTAACTCGTGTTTCGCAAACGGAACAATTAACTATATAAAAAATGCATTTGTATGTTTTAGTTTCCTGTGTTTTAGTGAAATTAAACGGCAGGGAATCGCGAGAAATGACCGTGTTGATTACGTACCAACTTTGGCAAACTATTCTTGAACGACAAGCTATTATTAATTCGTATAGTTATAGAGTTAACTGTGTAGAAGATATCGAAAGCACCTTACGACTTCTATGTTTCAGTGAGGGGATTGTATAGACCATTTCACAAGATGTAAACAACACTGGTCCAGAAGCACTTCCTGTTTCAGTTTTTGAACACTACATAAAAGCTGGGATAAAATACAACCAACAGAACATTTAAAACTGAATCAAAAAGTTAAACAAACATCTTTAAGATTTTTTCTTTACATGTTAAATAAAGAAAACATTTACAAACTGAAACAGGAAGTGCTTCTGGACCAGTGTTGTTTACATCTTGTGAAATGGTCTATACTAGGTGAAGTTTACCACTAATGAGCAGTAAACACTTTCAGTAAGCGGTCTTCTCTGCAATTCAAACTGGGAGATTTGAACATACAAATAGAGGCGAACTGCTCAAATATGATTAATCTCTATATATATTTGAATAATTTATTTTGTTATAGCCTAGATCACTGAAGGTAAGCAAATGCCAAATTTACATCCTATTCATGGGCTGAGTAGTGAGTACATAGCTGCCAACTTCTGAGTTTAGCTTGGAGTCAGACTTTTCCGATTGGAAAACATCCGACATTCTCACACACAAGGTCTCTCGCTCGCTTTCTCTCCCTGTCTCGCGTGCTCACTCGCTCGCTCTAGATTCCGGGAGATTTTTACTAATTTGCGGCATAACTAGTCGATCACGAGTGGCTCAACAGGTAGATATATAGATTAACTCATCTTTCAGGCATTTGACCGACTACGTTTACACATCAGTGTGAGAAATCAGGGGCGTGTCGTGGCGTGTGAGCGTGTGAAACCAAACAAATGCGGGTGTCTCACAGCCAATGCGCGAGAGTTTTTAGATCCAAGAGAGCAGTTTATTTTCGGGTAATCAATGTCCAGTCCAAGGAGGGGTCAAAATCCGTACAAAATAAGAACAAGCAAGAACACAGCGCTCTAAAGTGGTGTGACGAATAACATGGACTCCGTAACAAACACTAAACAGGCAGGGTTTTTATACACACACAGAACATGACAACCGTGATGGGGAACAGCTGATGAACAGTTATGAGCGCAGACGAGGATTGTGGGGATACGTCTTATTCACGGAAGCGCCATCTTTGATTTTTAATGAGAATGAAAGCGAGGCTGTGAGGGATAGACTTGTATCTCTTCAATGGGCTGTACTGTTATTTATTGTGTTTTCGGATTGTTCTGCTCATAAAACACTGGAAAAATATCTTTCCAAGAAATTTCTGTTGACAAAAAACTCCCGACAATGTAAGCTGTAGAAAATTGTAAGTAATCTAGCCGCTTTATTCAGCTTTTTACAGCGGATGCCATTGGAAACACGGTAAGTCTACCCCTCACAGCCTCACTTTCATACCTGTCATGGCGCTGCTCTGAATAAAGTCTATAAGGCCATCTAGTGGCAAGAGTCA